GGGGGTCCCCAGGAGCAAAAAATTCCGACCGGATTTTGGCAAAAAAAGTCAGTTTTGATTTCGTTCAAAGAATATAATATGTCCGTTTGACGAAATGGCTGTTTACCTGCAATTAAAGCCACATGCAGGTGAAGCACCTTGAGCCTGCTGCAAGGCTGGTACATGTTTGTGGCCTACATACAGACACCATCACACACACCTCCTTTAAAAAAAAACATGATTTTGCCATACTGTATTGTCAGACTTTCATCAATTCGTTCCTGTGTGTGTGTGTGTGTGTGTGTGTGTGTGTGTGTGTGTGTGTGTGTGTGAGAGAGAGAGAGAGAGAGAGAGAGAGAGAGAGAGAGAGAGAGAGAGAGCTCTGGGGGGACTGGTGTCTACCATCCTTTTACTCCAATGATCAGCCAATTGTAATTGTTGTGGAGTGACCATTCTACCATGATCAGTCATGTGTGTTGTGCCCACGTGACAGCCTGTGCTCCACATAACAACCTGCGAGGCTGAGCCCCTTGTCACTCCAACAAACGTTGTCGTCAACATACCCACGGCAGAAAAAAAACAGATCGCATCGCAAATCGTCCTGACAGATAATGACTAGAAATACGAGAACAGTCTCTGAACATAGAATAATTACTACATGGTGTTCCTTTCACGGTACTGTCACCGTTGAATGCTACTGGTGCCCTGTCAAGATGCCCTGCCTAAGGACCTGCAGTGTGTGCGGGAGGACAAAAAAGGACGAAAACCCTGAATGGACGATGCGGAATACCCTCGCTGGTGCAGTGACTGTCGGATAACTTCCCGCCACGTGCACTTCCCGCATACTGTCGTGGTCGAACACGTGCGAAAAAACACACTGGAGTTGGAGTGAACATCCATTCCTTTCGTTGCGTAGGCCGACTGTCCTTCCATGGAATGCGTTGCACACATCTCTGCTCCCGCATTACGTATGCCACTGGCACAACCACACATTGAATGAAGTTAGCAACTGCTTTGCAATGCCATGAGGGACTCGCCCGGTAGTCAAGAGTTCGAACCGTCACGGTCAGTTACATAAGGACACTGTGGGATCTGTCTCTTATACACATCTAGATGTGTATAAGAGACAGCTTCTAAATGGACCAGGATCGTAACAGATGGCTCACAACACAGTTCATAAAGTAAACACACTTCGAACTGGCACGCACGCACGCATGAACACACACACACACACACACACACACACACATGCCTGTCTCTTATACACATCTAGATGTGTATAAGAGACAGCATAAGGACACTGTGGGATAACAATACGAATTGTACATGATTGTTTAATTGAATGATTGTTTGATTGAATGATTGCTTAATTGAAGGATTGTTTAATACAATGATTAATTTATTTATTGAATGAACACTGCTGATTTCTGAATTCTGGAATGGCTGCCTTACCCAGATTCCCGCATTTCGCTCAGCTTTCAAGGTTTTGTGTCACCTTACGAGCTTGGTGGCCTGAGTGCCTGTCTGAGTGTTTGTCCGAATGACTGTGTGTGCAACCCGCAAGGGTACTTGTTTGTTTGGGAGGCCGTAGGGCCGGTACTTAACTGTGGCCGTTACATTGAGGGTTGCAGCAGGGAAAACAATCAAGTTGCCATGAGGGACTCGCCCGGTAGTCAAGAGTTCGAACCGTCACGGTCAGTTACATAAGGACACCTGTCTCTTATACACATCTAGATGTGTATAAGAGACAGCTGTCGGGCCGGTACTTAACTGTGGCCGTTACATTGAGGGTTGCAGCAGGGAAAACAATCAAGTTGCTATTGGACAACACATTGGGGGCTGCAGCAGGGAAAACACTGAACAAACAGGGAGAACACTCAGGAGCATTGTCATTGCTCCATGCTGGAGTACATCATCTTCGTATTCCTGCTTCCTTCATCTTCTTCTTCTTCTTCTTTCCCTCTCTCTCCTTCTCACATTCATTCATTTCTTTTTGCAATTGGACAGCATGATTGTACTTGTTGCTGAATGTGTACTTCTAAATGGACCAGGATCGTAACAGATGGCTCACAACACAGTTCATAAAGTAAACACACTTCGAACTGGCACGCACGCACGCATGAACACACACACACACACACACACACACACACATGGGGAGCCAAGGATCCGCAAAGTGGTGAATTGATCTTGACAGGACACTGCAGTGTCGGCAAAACATCAACGGCAGTGTATACACAATGGAAGATTCAAGAATATGAGCTGACCCATCAGATACTGACACGACATCCCATCACACATCAGTAATGGGAGACGAAGTAGGGACCGCATACATAGACGAGAGGACCCTCCTTGCACAGGCACATGGGTGTGTGCGTGTGTGCGGGGGGGAGGAGGGGAGGCAAGGGATGGGGAAGAGGCAACACAGAGAAGAGGAAGAAGAACAAAAACAAGAAGAAGAAGGAAGAAGGAAGAAGAGGGGGGCAGGGCGTAAGTTCCTGAGAACAGAGAGAAGAAGAAGAAGAAGATGATGTCGCCCTCCCAACCGTCTCACCTGCAGGTAACTGCTGCCAGCCACCGACGTGGCCGGCACATGTTGTGCTGTAGGTCGCTGAAGGCAGATACAGCTATGGCGCCCAGGTACGTTCTCGAAGGCAGCAGGTATGGCCTCCACCCTATATCCCCACATACTCCCCCACCTCCAGTGCAGTGCTGGTCCAGCAGCATGTCATCCAAGAAGTGAGCTACTCCAATTGTGTCCGTGCCCAGCCGCTGCCCTGCTTCAAGTACCGCTGGGCCTGGATGGGCGCGCGTGATGCTGCCCTCGAACTCGCCACTTGGTCTGGGCCCCTGCACGGTGTCCACGTCATGCCGCTGATGGAGAAAGGCGCAAAAACGCACATGGCCTGATAAAGACCTCGCTCCTGTATACCCAGCCGAAGGCGTAGCCTAGAGGCCTGGTGGTCCGAAACGTCGTCAGCACGGACAAAAAACAGGACAGCAAAAAAGTAAGTAAATAAATGAATAAATAAACGGTGCCTGAAGTTGGTCCATGGAATTGGGGCCCGTGTGCAGGCTCGTCGTGCAACACACGCACGCACGCACTGTGCACACACACACACACACACACACACACACACACACACACACACACACACACACACACACACACACACACACACACACACACTCACACACACACACAAAATTCTCATCATCATTTCGAACATCGTGCTCGCACCCTTCTGCCCAAGTTGTGAGCAGGTCTCCCACACCCTCGTAGCGAGTATTCGGTTTTCTATGTCGCTGCGGTCGTTGTTTGTCACAGGTTTTTGCCTCACATGCTTGTTGAGGCTGCTGTTCATTCGTTGTGGCCCAGTTGGAGTCACGACGATTGGAGTCCTTGTCTGTTTGTGACAAACGTTCGTCGTCACAGCCTTCAGCATCCTCCTCCTCCCCACAGAGGTCCACCACCTCTGCGTCAGCAACCTTCTCCTTCCCTTTCTCATTGTCATCCTGCTTTCTGTTACGTGGTCGGACCTCCACTTCCCCTAGTACCCCGACGATGTCAACTTTCTCCTCATTCCAGTCCTCGTTCGTTACCTCTCTATCTGCTTCTTGTCCCTTGTCCTCGCTCTCTTTATCCTCCTCCCCCTTGTCCTTGTTCTCTCCCGCATCTTCGCCCTCGTCGAGTTCGTTGTCGTCAACCTCTCGCTCGTCATCCTCACGGCCACCGTCCTCATCGTCATCGGCGTCCTCACTGTCGTCGCAGTTATTTCCAGCCACGCCCTCGTCCTCGAAAAAGCCTTCTTGCTCGTGCGCTGCGTGTACGAGGCCTTGTGAATCAAGAACAGTTTCATTGAAGACACCAAGGTTATCGTGCTCGTCCCCGAAGCGCTCATGACCATGAAGCCGTGTCGGACCAGCACGTTCACTGGTGACATCACATGCAACATGCACGTCGCTAGGGCGCACTCCACCAGCAGGTCTCGGTGTTCTACACCTACGGCCTGTGAGGCCACCAGAAGTCCGCGGCTCAGGATTGTGCACATTGAATCACTACACCACAGGTACAACCTTCATGTGTGCACTGCGCAAGAATCGAAAATTCCAGAGATCATAATTTTGTTTTCGCCGGCGGGGGATCGCCTCTAACCACTACTGCGAGGCCACAAAGGGAGCACTTATGTTGTGATTCCCGCGGCCGGTGCAGTCTCCCCCCCTCCAAACAACTTTTGATTCGACTGCCTTTTGGAGGGTGCCCTTTCTGCCGCCTTGTTGCAGGTGGCAAGATGACGGGCTCAGTTTCCAGGGAAGGTTTCGCAGACGCGAAACATGTAGGGTACACAATACCAGCGTACGTAGCTCGCAAAGCTCTCGTTGTGTAAAACTGGTTGACATACATTCCAATGTCCTCTCCCCGTGAAACGATGGTAGCTGCAGCGTGAGCGCACGGACAATGCGTGTCTTCCCAAAAGCGGCAAGTGCAAACCATTTTTTTCTCTTCAAACTCCACCCGCCACGACTGTCGTCGCCTATGTGAATCGTTTAAGGAAACCTCATACACGTTACGTGCGGCTTTTCGAATGGAATATATCCTCGCCAACTGCAAAGTGACAGTGAGGATGTCTTCCACGACCTCAGGGTGTTCCCCCACCTGCGCAACTGCCCAATCTCTTCTCTCCGTGTACCATTTTTGCAACCAACCATGGTACTCCTCGATAAGTGGAATCGGCGGCAACCCCCGAGCCCTGAAGAATCTATTGTTCATTGACTCCGCAACTTGCGACGTCACCTTCCCATATCTTGGCGCATGAAAATGAGGACCTCCCCAGTGTCTCTTGTCTGCTTTCGCAAAGATCTTCTTCACAATGTTCTTGTCCTTTGAAAAATCTGCAACGCGCTGCATGAAGTAGTCAAACACGGGTTCGCTGGTGCTTTGTGCTACTTCAAGGAGCATCTTTGCCTGCTCTCTATTGACCCTCAGATTCTTTAGCAAGTTATCGCTCACGTGACGGACACAATACACGTGGCGTTCATCACCAAATTCTTCACTCACTGCTGGAATGAGACCTTTGTCGCGGTCGGACATTATCGTGATTATGCCGTGAGGCACATGAGCGGCATCACAGACACGCTTCAGAAGAACCAAAAACCATTTCCAATTCTTTTGGTTCTCTGCGTCAACAACTGCATACACAACGGGGAGACACTGGCCGTTCGCGTCTCGTGCAGTTCCGCCGAGAAGGCAGCACTCGTACTTCCCCCTAATATCCCCGTCCAACACAATTAACGGCCTGCACTGTGCGAAGCCATTCACCGAAGCAGCGAACGCGAAAAAAACTCAGACAAATATGTCGCCATTAACTTCGAGTTCGATGATGGACCCGGGGTTGGTCTCACGCAAGACCCTGCAATACGTGTGCAAATGAGTATACCCGGCCTCAAGAGCGCCTTTCAATGCATCGACCGCTCTCGCCCTTGCTCGGACGCACTTGCTGTAGCTGACGGGGGTCTTTATGGTTTCTGCAAACCATTTCTTCAAATCAGTCACGGTAGTCTCAAGCTTCTCTCGTAATTTTGTCCGAACCATCAGCTCCACCCACTTCACCTTCGCGTGTTTATTCCCTGTTCGTTCCTGAACCGGCGCCCTGCAACCAGGGCGATGCGGGGTGAGACGAACAATCTCAGCCGGGGCGTTCACATGTGGCGCTCTACCCTCCAGCTCCTACGGACAGTCAACATTATCGCAGATAACGTGAAACCGGGTGCGGTGTGATCTAATCCGCTTGTATTGAAAACCCTTCGCAAACGCGACAAACTGGACTGTTTCACGCAGGGTGTCCATGGACTCATAATGACATCCCACCTGCAACGGTCGCACATCGCCAGTGATCGCATATTGCGTGGGTGGTGTGGTCCGCATTTCCATATCCGGGCTGACCACCTCGTCGTCTGACGAGAATGCCTCTCGATCCGAGGACTCGTATGCAGCAACCTTGTTTGTACGCTTCCTCTTCCTTCTTGATATAACACACGCTCTGGTCGCCACAGTCGGCTCACTCTGAGGATGTTGCACACGCGACGAGGAACTGCCTCCCACTGTTGGCGAGTCCCGGAAACTCATAAGTCTTCCCAAGCACGCGGCATCCGCATTTACATCATCATCTTTGGCAACGATGGGCTCAGCGTCCTCGGAGAGGCCAGCGACCGCCGGTGTGTCGTCTAATACAACGTCCTCGATACGTGAATCGGGGACGTGTAGCGAATGACGTGCATCGGTGCGCCCACTACCTTGTTCGCCACTTGTGGAATCGAACGATGGCCTCGTCGGGGCCTGCAAGACGCATCTTCGGAGTGTTGACTGGGCTCGCACCTCCCCCACATCACCAGGCATAGGAAACGGACCGTCCACTCGATTCTGGTATCCGGTTTCGTGTGCCTGTATCCCAGCGCTACCTGCAGCAACCGGAGTGCCAGCAGATGGTGTTGCATGAGACAGGTGACGCCCCGTATTCATTCCATTGCACGGTCCGTTATGGTCCCCACCCAGCGACGGCCCACATGATGGCTCAACCGTGGGAGGTGGTGTGGCAGTACAACCCTGAAGACTGTGGGCAGCTGCCATGACGGGATAGGAGTTGTATGGATGTGTCGCTTCCATCACAGGCATGGCAATGTTTGATGGTGGGTTGTTCAGTGGCGTCGCGAATGATGCGGGTGGTGTGGTGTACATGTAGTGTGGAAAAGACGGGTCATGACCATGGCCAAATTGGTGCATGTTGACCCGCATGCGGATGCCACGAGGCGGGGCACATGTAGGCCGGGTAGTGCAACGGGACGGTGTGGTGCAGATTGTAGGGAAACGGGGGCAGGTGAGGAGCAGGCATATGGAATGGAGCTGCATAGTGGGGGAAATTGTGGACCCAAGGACTGTGGGCAGGAAGCGGCCGTGGTGACGGTGGTGGAGGCAGAGGAGTGCGAATCGCAGAAACAGAGGAAGGCCGGTCGGGGACAGGTTGGGAGTAGACCTTGTGGTTCATTGTGGGCGAAGCGGATTGCGGTACGAACCCCGAGAAATGACCAGCACTGGAGGACGCCGCCCCAGTGTCCTCCACAGACGTTGTCAGCAATGTGAGGTTCTCGCGAGCCTCGCCGTCTGCTGCACCCATTGCACGCTGTGCGAGACACAGAGTGTGAACACTGCATGCAAAACATGATATGTGAAACAAACGTTAGTCTGGAAATGTAAGTGCATTGAAAAGGAAACAAAGACATTCCGTTCCAGCTGAAACAGAAATTCTGACGAGAAAGCATAAGCCATCCAATTGCAAAAGAAAGAAGTGACCCAGGAAGGAGGGACAGACAAAGAAGGAGTAGGGGAAGAAAAAAACGATAACAAGAAGATGCAAAAAAAAGCAAAAGGCGAATGGCAATCCCCCACTTGTTTCACCGACCACCTCGTACTCCTTATCACCTCCTCTCTCATTCAAACAACGGACAATAATAATAACAATGAATGACAGAACCGCAACGAAAGTGTGAATCCATCTTGTACAACGAGGCACAACAGAGGTCCACATTTGCCATAGCCTCCTTGTTGGTCCTATATGACAAACCGCTGCAACAAAGGCTTGGGGACTGGAAATAGAGTCGAGCTAACAAGAAACAAACCGTCAACGGACCCACAGACACCCGGAACTGGCTGGCAACGAAGTGCGAAGTGACACTCACTTCAACCATGCCAACGAACCGGACACATACTCAAATGGAATGAGAAACACACACAACAGGCTGAAACAGACCACGACAATACGGTCACCGACATGAACTGACATGAAAAACATTGACTGTGAAAGTGGGAAGACACAAACAGACTGGCGGTCTGAAAACAACCACAGAATACACAAACACACAAAAAAAGAAAAGCCTCAATGGAATTAACTGCGAAAGAAGCAAAAACATCACAACAAACGAACCGAAGACAGACACCACGAAGACAGATAATGGCGGGTGAACAAAACGTCTCCGGACCAGAAGTCAATCGGGAGTCGACAAATCATATCTGGCGGAAGATCAAGCAGGCCTGGGGCAGAAGTCGAGGAACAGCAAAAATGAGAGACTGGATTATTTACAAGAGCTGTTTTTTTTAACTGCAAGATAGCAGAGTTACGAGATGCAGGACAGAGGGGCACAAGTCACTGACAGAAAGGAGCATCCAACCGCGGTTAAAGGCGGTCGGGTCAATCACTTCTTGAACACGAGATGAATGCAATTGCCGGAGAGAATGGCACATTTCAAATTCAGCAAGAAGTTACCGACAACAGATACAGCTATGGAGGGATAGCATAGAGATGGACGAATGGCTCGAAATGACCAGAACAAGGGAAAAGTTCTGACTGAAAGGAGTGCTGGAGTATGGGCGCACAGGTTCAGGGTTTCAGGGTTTAGGGTTTAGTGGCGTTAAAAAAAAAAAAGAAGGCGACAGATAGAATGGGACAGGGGATACCACGCTGCACGGGCAAGGGCAGACGAGCGAGGAGGGTACAGACCAGCAGGAACAAACGACGGGCTCCATGTTGGTGGCAGAGCACTGTTTGGCAGATCTGGCCTCCAGATCTGAGAGGAAAGGGAGGGGTATGGCAAGCTGACAGTCAATCCTCCACCAAGATGGAGCAATCAATGATGCTCATGGGTGCTTGGGCCGAATGGAAGGAAGCGTGTGGGAGGTTCAATGTAATGTATATTTTGACTTGCCGGTGGAATTGGAACCAGACTGACGCTCCCCGGACTCGAAGGAGCCAGCACCATAAGGCCCTGTCTTTTAAAAAAAAAAAAAAAAAAAAAAAAAAAAAAAACACCACGGGACCAGAAACAAACCGTATACAGACACGAAGGGATCTGATAGGATCACCCATGGTTGGAGCTCGATGGACTACATCGTATCATTTCTGATCTGATCTGTTCACCCATGCGTCGAGTTTCATGGACCTCATGCTATTCGGTGTGATGTGATACGAATTGTTCAGCCATGCCTGTGGCCTGATGGATATGATCCGATCTCATCTGATTTGATCCGATATTGATTTCATATGATATGATGTAATTCGATCAATTGGATGCTGTGGAATTCGATGAATTGGACCCAAGACATTTTCAAAGTATCATGTTTAAACTGCCCCACGGGTGAAACTGAATGTGACCATCCAATCACGAGTGGGCATTTATTTCCTCAGGAAGGTCCTGACTGAAGGACACGTGTGATCAGTGTAACTGTTATGCAAAAGAGGTCATTGGATTAGTTCTGTTTATGCACTTCTTTTTTTATTCATTTATTTTGGTTGTGACCAGCCACTGAATTGGCTGACCACCCCTCACCTTATCAGCGGCACCCTTGCCCTAAGTGAAGACCATCAATATGTAGATGCTCATCGGACTTCACTTCACTAGTTTTCTTTACCCCACCAATATTATCAGTCATTGATCGATTGATCATCGGTTGACGGTGCAGTGGCACACCAGCCTTAGTGAAGGCAGTTTTGTGCCGCTGCCTAGAAAATCATTTATTTATTTTTTTCAAAACAATCTTTACTTTATTTTTATTTTTTATAAAGCTATATTCTTCTCTCAATTTCACCTCACACTACCTACCTACCACCACTAATTGTAGGCATACGGGGAACCCCGTAGCAGCCAGAACCGTGTTCACGAGAGAACATGCGGGGGCTGCTCCCGACCTGCAGGTGGGCGATACCGGCTAGGGGACAGCCGGTAGCATCAGGGACCATGCCAACAGGACCCATCCCTGTGCCTCCCCTCAGGTCCCCTCCCCTATGAACATCAGCAGACTCTGCTAAATCCCAATCGGGGGATCCAGTGGTCTATCTCTAGGTGGCGGGGACCAAGCATGCCCAGGAAGGTACATGAAGCCAATGGGGATTGAACCCACGACCTCCTGAATGCCACTTGCGAGCCTTACCAACTGAGTTAGGCCGCTGGATAATCTTTACTTTAGTCTTTACTTTAGTGATTAGCCCTAAGCGGTAAGTGATTGATCTCCAATCTACGGCAGTCTAGCCTTGTGTGACATCGGGGATAATTTGTTTATGCTGGCTGGTCGTACTCACTGTTACCCCCACCACAAGAGTAACGATTCCTTTTTTTTTTTTTTTCCGAGCATATCCTGCTGTGGTATGTGATCAGGCACTGCGATCTAATCACAGCTCTGGCGAGCAAAGCCCAACTGTCCCAGGTCAAGGTGTTCACTGTTTGTCCAGCGGCAAACAAGTATTTTCTTTGTCACTATTAATTTTGTTCCGATGTTTATGATCAACCATTTTAGCAGCCCCGTGTTTTATTTGAACACGAGACTGTGCAAGTTGCAGTAGTAGTTACTGAACAAGGGCATCATACCCTGCCGTGCACGGACGGCCTCGAACCGGCACCCTCCGCCACAGGAACGAAGTATCGTAACCACTACAACCCTTGGAGGTGTTATAAAAACTGGATCCATACCGGTCGTGATATCCAGCCCACCTCCAGGGCTGTAGCGTCCTTGAACTCACACCACACACTCACACACACCACACCACGGACATGGCAGGCCCTTGTTTTATTTGAACACGAGACTGTGCCAGTTGCAGCACCGTGTTTAATTTGAACAGGGAACAGTGCAAGTTGCAGCCCCGTGTTTAAATTGAACGTGGGCAACGCAGAGCTGCACCCCTGTGTTGCAGCCCCGTGTTGTATTTGAACACGAGACTGTACAAGTTGAAGCCCTGTGTTTAATTTGAATGGGGAACAGTGCAAGTTGCAGCCCCGTGTTTAAATTGAACGTGAGCAGCGCAGAGCTGCACCCCTGTGCTCAATTACAACAGGGGTCAGGCAGGCTGAACCTCTGTGCAGTATTCGAACAGGGCTCGTGCAAGCTGCATCCTTATGTCGTAGATGAGCATGGAAAGCACAAGTTGCATCCCTGTGCAGTACTTGAACGAGGGAGCGTACAGGCTGCACTCCCCTGCAGCACTTGAGCAGGGATAATGCAGACTGCACCCCTGTTCAGTTTACGAACAGGGAAGGTGCGTGCGCAGTGCCCCAGCGTCGAAATTGAGCAGGCAATCTATGCGCCATACCTCATACCAGTAATACACTGAGACTAGCAGAGATTATGCAGACTCGGGAAGTTACAACCTAAACAACAACAAAGATAGACGCAACATCAGATTTGGAGGACTACAGACTAGACAAATTGCACATTCAGAAAGCCTCAGTAAACGGCATTACCTGTATATATATCGTCACAAACAGAACTGCCCGATAATATATATATATATATATTGTCACATGATATCACAGCGCCAAAGCAAAAAAAAACAAGGAAAACAAAAAAATCTTAAATTCGTTTTTATTAAAAAAGGTGTAATGATGGCCATCATGTCTCTACCAGGCTGATAGTGTCCCGACCTCCACGACACTGATAGACCTGGCATGTCATGGTTATGAATGATTGGATGACTTTTTTTTTTTAATGGTAATATATAAAGTTGAAGTTAAGAAGATCGACAGAGAGCAGCTCGGATTGAACTCCTTCCTTCAACCCAACCGTTGTGTTCTTGTCGGACACGTGTCATCACGCTGTTCATTTCTGTTCTTTCTGTCGTGCTCCCCTCCCTTCCCCCCCCCCCCCCGCCCCCAATTTCTTCGGGGGGGGTGTTCTCGTCGTACACGTGTAGAACATCGTACACGTGTCATCATCACCGTCATCATCCCCCTCAGAGGCTTTTTCTTCACTCCCCTTCAGAAACGTCGTTGAAGCGGATTGCCGCTGAGTCATCGACCCATTTAGTTTTGTTCGTTGGTTTTTTTCTTTTTCTTTTTTTCTTTTTTACCAGGCTAATCTTCTCTGTATCGTTCCAATTTTAACGGCTGTCCCGAAGAAGGACTCTTTTTTTTTTAACATGTGCTGGTGACCCATTCGGAGTCATTCAGTCTGTCTATCATACTGGTGACCCATTCGGATTTTTKTTTWT